CCAGCTGGCTTGGACACAGTGTCCGAGCCACCAACCTTTGTGATCATTCTTTCTTTTCTATTCCTAGCTTAGCTAGCCTTCTGAGAAACCTTTTCTTCTATTCTTTTAGTATAGTTTTAATGTAATATATATCATAAAATAATATATCAAGCCTTCTGAAATATGGAGTAAAAACCTCATCTCTTCCCTCATCTGAAAACCCCTCTGAACACTGTCACACACCCCCTTTTATCAGCCCGAACAGCCAGATCTTCCCAGAAGTGCACAACCTGCACACAAATGTGCAAGGTGATGTAGCTGTATTTTTCATGGGTTCCCTGTTTGAAAGCCTTAAAAGGTTTGTTCCCACATTTTGTTATCTCCAAACTGAAGTCATGACAGTGATTTACATTTCTAAGAGTTCAGATATCAACACCCTTGCAAGCTGGGACAATTAATTCTATTACAGGTGGCAGAATAAAGGATAATCATCTCAGCTATAGCATGGCAATAACTTGGAACAAATTTTTGGATATGAGTGTAAGAAAATACCGGTTTAAATGCTTTCCCTGCAGCTTTGAATGACAATGAGATGGAGAGACTCTGAAATAGACACATAACTTGAACTGCAAGCAGCAACTGATAAGGAAACTGGGGCAGAGGGAATGACTCAGTTGGCTGTGGTGCAGCCGCAAATCCACATGGGGCTCTGGAAATGTTCATCCGTGCCAGTGATAATGCACCAACCGCAGAGATGCTTATGACAGTCAGAGAAATTTGGAGAGCAGTAATGAAAAATAACCAACGCAAGAAACCACTGGGAACTTCAGAGTCAAAGGGCACAAAGGACAACGTTTTGAAAATAAAAGGAAGAAAAGGGACTGAGAGGATCTTTGATCTAAAGGCTTCTTCCTGCAGGTTTTATCTCTCCAGACACCAAAATACAAGGCTTACATCTATTCCCTTAAGAACTGAACAGCACGTCAAAGAGGAAAGAAAGGGAGAGAAAACCTTCCAAGATAACATTTAATCATCATAAAAATGCATGCATGAATGTGGCAAAGAGAAAAAAATGCAGATATCTTAAAAATCAATATGTAAAAGAACCTAACCAAATAGGAAAAAAAATTGCAGTAATGTGTGCAGTGACTTGGACAGAATAGGATAGATAAATATACACTGCCAGCTGATCTCCTTTTGTAAGATAAGTACTACGTATTTCTGTTTTCAACTAAGTGGCCTCTAATCCTGACAGATGACAAATCAATGTTTGTTTGTCCTGTTTTGGGGCTTCATTGAAGTATTTTCCATTCTCTTTTCTTTTTGATGGCTTTTTCCAATGTATTTGCTGTATACATAAAAAGATCTTTAGGGCCCCATTATAGAAAGCAGCATTGAGACTCACTTCATCCTCACATCTCATTTCACAGCTCTAGTGGCAATCACATCTTGCTCCCCACAGGGAAGGGGTGACTCTTAAATCGTGTTTAAGACCTTACTCAGAAAATAAGAAACCCTAACTCAGTTCCATTGCCTCTCTATCAGCAGCAGCAAAGATGGAGTCTGATACCATACCTGTCCCTTCAGTGATTTGGTGCCACCACACAAACCAATGTGCATTAGGTGTCAGGAACTCCTATGGAAGCATGAGAAATGGAGAAGTGTTTGTGGGTCCTTCAAACTCCAGAAACCACACTCCTGCTCTAGGATCAGCCTAGATTTCTAGGCTGATCTTCACCAGCTATGGATTTCTTCACCAGCTACACATGTACCCTAACGCTGCTCTGCCATCATGGAAATTCAGGCTTGTCTTTGTGTGTTCTGCCTCAGGTTTCTGGCAGCCATCACGTGTGCAACTTTCAGCTCTGCTTAAACTGAGAGAGGCTTGAGGGTGTGGCTGGAGAGCTTGGGTGGAGAGTTACTGAGTGGGGCATTCCCTGGGCCATTAGCCCCCATGGCCTCTCTGGTGACAACCCCAACCAAAGCCATCCCCTACGTGGTGTACGTGAGGATATGGTAACTGAGATTTGCTCTGGGGACCCCCACATGTGCTAAAACTCCCAGAAACATAGACCAGATGAATCTGGGTGAGCTGAGCAAGATCTTCAGCGTGTTCTGGCATCCTGAGAGCAAATAAAGAGAGCTGCAAGACTCTCCTTCAGAGCAGAATTTAACCAAAACCCTGCAGAGTAATGTACATCCCTCCTGAGCTGTGTCCTGAATGGAGGGAGCTGTGGGCCCTCCCATTTCCTTAGCAGGAAGCAGCAGCAGGTGGGCCAGCATACACCATGGATATTCGTGTGTGTTTATTTATCCATATATTATCACTAGCCCAAATTCAACCTTGAAAAAATTCAGCTGACTCTGTGTCTTCTGCCTAATAGCAAGTGAATGACTGTGGAGCTGGGTTATTTCAGGGCGCTGAGGGTTTCCCATCTGCTAGAGGTGCTGAGCTCATGGCACCTCTGGCTCTATGCTGTCCTTGCCTGCTCTTTAAAAGGAGCATTCAGAGAGACAAAACACTGACTGCATTCTCAGCTCTATTTAGGTGAGTAATGCTGCAGGCAGGTACCTAGTGTGGTGTGCAGGAGCATTTCTGCAGCGTTCATTCCTCCACCCACTTGGCTCTCATGCTCACCAAAGGCAAGTGTCAGGGCTCTGAGGCACTCACAGGCTATGACAACCCTGAGCAGCCCCACCAGCCCTGAGAACCCACCTGAACCACACTCCTCTGCCACCTGGCTGGACCTGCTGCAAGCCCAGGTTGCAAACACATTGAAAAAATAATAGAGCTGAGGAGACACAGATGGTCAAAAGCTGTAGGGTGACTCTGCCAGACCCTCTTGGGCAGGGGATGCCCCAGACATCACCTCTCTGCACCTGGTGCTTTGCAGAGGGCAGAGCTCTTTTTGCTCTATTCTTTAATTCTAGGCTGGCAGCATCTCCTTTGTCACCCTTGACCTAGGTCTGCTTCTCCGACTTGGGTGTTGTGCACAACCTAATGGAAGCATTTATGATCAAATCCCTTCCTTTGGGACAAGTCTAATTTGTTTTTTACTTCCCATTGAGATCATTTGTGCACTTACTAAGATTAAAAGGCAACATCAAGTGTTCCTCTGCTCCTGCACCAAGACAGCTTTAGGTCTTAATGTGTCAAGGACTTGGAAGTAATATAAAATCTGCTTGGCAAAAGGCAGGATTTGCTATCTGATTTGAGTGGGAAGAAGAAAGACTTCACACTGGTCTGGGGAGGGGCCAGTGAGGAGGGGGTTCACCTTCCCAGCTGGCCTCCTAATCTAAGTATGCAAATCCCTCATTTCTCTGACCAGACTGCATATTTTAAAAGCTTTGGGGGCTTTTTTACTTCAATTGGTTTAAGAGCTTGACTAACGTGTAAGGTACAGTGCAGAGCAGCTCTGTGTTACACACAGAGTTATCTCATGGCTCTTTCCACAGGCTGAAATGAAAGAAAATAACACAGCTGATTACAGGCTTGAGCTACATGCTTTGCAGGTTTACATGCCTGGGAGCAGCTTGGGATCTATCTCTGTACTTTTTAAGTGTCGTTGTTTTGCTTTGTGTTTTGCAATAGATATAAAGCAGAAGTCATTCCGGGGACCTCTCTGCTAGGAAGGTTTTTCTTGCCTATTATTAGCACTCTGCTTTTGCAGCAAGCGCTCATGAGCCAATATGCAGAGTTTTAAAGGACTTCAAAGTGTCATTGGGAACCAAGTGATATGTGTGTTAAAAAGGGTTTAATGGAGCTGCAGTCGCTGTAGCAGTGTCTTTTTATAGCAAGTTTTTACAGCGTTAAGAAAAACATCCTGCAGATTTCAGTAGGATTGGCATATGGATAAGGTACTTTGCACTATGATTTTTGTTTATCTGCTCTTAAAAAAAATTAAAGGAAAACAGCATTGCTAGCTATAGGGAGAATGATAAGCAGAAGCAGTTTTGCAAAACTCAGGCAACAGCTCTTACCTTCATTTTGGATTTAATTATTTTTATATTTTTCAAAGGAAAGCATACATTTGAAAGCAAATTGCTTGGCTTAAAGAATGGAAATACAGAGTGATTTGTATTCATGTTGAAGATTTTATAGTCTTTTTTTTTTTTCCCCAGAGCCACTGGATTATATCATCATTAGCACAAGGCAAATCCTCCTTATTAAATTTGAAGAAAACTTTTTGGGACCATCTTTAAAAAGTCATAGGGGAGGCTCCCAAGGAAGGAAGTGGTTTGCAAAAAACACATTAAATAATGAAGCGGATCTGATCCATGTGTGATAATACTGGTCTGCAGGAACTGGCTGGAATTTGCTGGTTTTAATACCTTCTCTAGTTTTTCCTTTTACAACGCTATTTATAAGTCTCTTTTAATTATTCCTGGGACGCATGTAGGGATACTTTATGAGACAGGCTCCTCATTGTCCTTTAGAAACCCATGTCATTAGCCTACCCACATCTGAAATAGAGAAGGAATCAAAAGGAAAGATGTGTACCCATTGCCCACTGTGAGGGGAAGAGGCTTGCCCAGGTTTACACAAAAAGGCAGAGGCAGAGCAAGGACAGCATTGTCCCTCCAGCGTCTCAGTCCTAAACTGCCTCCTTAAAGCCATCCTTGCATCCACGGAGTCTGGGATGTAGCTGTTTGGACTTGTTCCACCTCTGAATTCACATAATTTAAACATGTTTTACTCTGCTTTTGCTTCAGGCTGGGGAATGGCTGGTTTATGCCTTGTCTGAGGGATTAAAAAAATATAGCCAGGGTAACCTTTAGTTGTTGTGACTGCCAAAGCAGGAGCAGCACAGGATTTCTCAAGGCTCTCAGGCAGCTGGGGGCTGCAAGCGAATGTGTTCAAAGCTGATGGGAGCAGGGGTTCAGCTCCCCGTGCTACCCTCACACTGGTAGCTGTCTCCCATCCCTATGCCTCAGCCCCAGCAGAACTAAAGCCCTGGCAAAAGCCCAGCACGGCAGCCCCGTCCCTCCCAGCCCTGCAGCTCCGTCTGGAGCAGCTTCTTTCATTTTTCACACTCAGTCCCCCCGAACGGAAACCTTGGTCAGAGATTTTGCAGAGGCACCCAGAGAGATACTTTCTTTCTTTCTTTCTTTCTTTTCTGCGGAGGAGGGCAGAGCAGTGACGGCACAGGGGGAAGGGTTTGTAGAGTTGTTTTTTTCTTTTTCCCTTTTTGCAACACTGGTTGTTCAGGGGAGTGTCTTGTGTTATTAATGCTGAGTGGCTCTGTGGTTCAAGGTCGTTAGTCATCCGCTGGTACTGCAGGAGACACCGGAGCGCTGAGCCACAGCTCCTCATCCAGCCCTCTGGGTCCTCCCAGGCCAGCAGGTTGGGAAGAGCTGCACACGGGGGCCTGTGGGGGTCTGGGGAGCAGCCTGGGCATGCCACAGCGGCATCCTCGCAGCGTGCCCAGGCCTGTGGGACCGCTGGGTTTATGGGTGGCAGGGCCTGGGAGGGGCTGAGGGTCGGGAGAGCACCTGCAATGTGCGAGTGTGGGACCCTCCATGCACCCCACGAGAGGGTGGATGTCTCTGTCCCCGCCTGGCAGTCTGTCCCTGTGTTAACTACAGCTGCACAGGCACACCAGTCTCCTTCTCCTCAAGCTTCACCCACGCAGGATACTCTCTGAGGAGGAGTGGACCCTACAGGTCCACTTGCACCCTTCCCACCTGATTTCTTCCTTTTTTACTTCCTTAGGATGAAGGAGTCTAGGCAAACATTCCTTTATTTATTCTGCATCCTCTGGCTCTTGCTGCTGCTGAAGACTGCCTCTTGCTCCCCTCTGCCTCGTGGAAAAGACCCACGAGCCCCTTCGCTCCCCTTTGGGCTGTACAAAGGACACACCTGTGTTGGTATGTACCCAGGGTTTGTTTGCCTGCTGGACTGGTTCATTCCTTACTTCACTGGTGAGCTGAGAGTTGCTGTTCACATCATAAATCGCTCCTTTATCTCTTTCAACAGCTGTACTGCAAAATACTTGTAGTCTTTGCTGAATCAGTCACTGACAATTTTGCAAGGCTGTCATGGGATCTGGAAATATTTTTATGATTTTGTTTTTGACTGGCTTCTTCCCAAAGTTCATGTTTTCACTCTGTGGGAAATGGCATCTGAGAAGTTGGCTTTAATGTCTGCAGGTCTGGGATCTGGAAAGAGGATGTTATGAGGTGCTGGTGTTTCTTAGGGCTCATGATGCATTTTGCTTAACTGACAGGAAGGCACAGTTCCCTTCAGGCTTTCCCAGGGTCTCCTAATTGATTTCAGTTCCTGGAAAACTATTCTTAAGAGTGGTTGGTCCATCCCTTGGGCCAGAGGTCTTTGTGGTCTGAATAGTCATCTCTGGATAGCTGGGTTGCAAAGGCTGCTTCCTCACGTTTCCTTTCCTTTTGATGTGCACACGTGTTTGCATGATCCACACTGAACTGGGGCAAGTTGGCAACCCCCTTTTCACGTGACTTCAGTGACTGTGGTGATCCCCATTGTACCTATATCTGAGAGTAGGTATCCCACAGTCTCAGGTGGCTGAGTGATTCCCAGAGCAAGACTGGTAACACTGGACTCAATGTAAACTGTGGATATCTCTGCACCAGAAATGCCCTTGGCATGGCACTCCATATACCTAGGGAGATGTGGTAGCTTATAGTTTTTATGTGTGCAAGTGGTATGTCTTATGCATTACAATCAAATGCTGTACTTTGTCATCAGCAGGACTTGTTGATCTTACAGGCCTTTTTCAGCCTAAAAAATTCTATGATTCTTTTAGCTTCCCAAGGCACCTTTGTGCTGGAAACATAAACCCTGTCACAGTTTTATGTCCTTCAGAAGGAAACAATTCTTTCCACTGTGGCTTGGGGAATACAGTTAGAAATAACAATCCTGAACTTGATAAAAGCAGGATTTTTGCTTCTCTTCTGAGCCACACACAGTCTTGGTGGGGCAGGGTGAATCAAAAGGAGAGCGGAGTCAGGGTGGTGAGGGGGTTCAGCCCCCAGCCTAAACATGAGAACAGGAGGTGAAAAGCAGAAATGGCTGTGAGGGGCTGTCCTTGTTTGGGCTGGGAGCCAAGCAAGTGGTGACCGAGCAGCTGCCAGAGCTAGGGGGAAGTGGTGTTGTTTAGTGGTGAGATCTTAAGGCAGCTACAGTTTTGATGGCACAGGAAAGGCAGTGACTATACTCATCTGTTGGTTTTTTATGTGGGTGGCTTTTAGATGTCAGGTTGTGAGCATTTTCTGGCCTTTCTGTCCTGTTGACTCAGAAAAGTTCTAAATTCCACACATTGCATTGAAGTTGCCTTGCGCAAGATAACATGTCCTTTTTTTCCCCTCCTAAAGGGAGGAGAGCTGTGCTAGCCCCATTTCTGGGACCACTGTGGATCTCTTTGTTCAGGGAGGAGACACTGCCTCCCACAACTAGTTTATCTTTCTGAAGTGTCCCTTCAGCTAAAAACATCCTTGTGAGCTCGACTCAGGACCCAAACAGACTGTACCCACCTCTGCAAAACACAAGATAAAAATGGTGTGGCTAGTGTTAAAAGGGCAGCCTGGCAGGGAGGGCTGGTGGCTCCTAGCCCAGATGGCCGCCTCTGGGCTTTTCCTGATTAGCTGCTCATTCAACTAACTCTTGAAAATGTCTCTTCCTTTTTTCAAGCAGAAGGGAAAAGCACAGCGGAATTGATGGTTGCACTTGCCATGGCTTGGAGCAGGGGTAAAGTCAGCTCTTGCTTCTGATTCCATGACCAGCCCTCTTAGGAGCAGACAGTAAGGCAGGATCAGCTTGTTATTTCCTTCCAACAACTCGACCCCAGATACTTAGTCGGCTTAGTTTGCCATCTGGGAAGGTAATGAGACAGAGACATGAGTACTTCTGTGTCTTCTCGGCCTCATAGATCAAGGCCAAGATGATTTCTCAGAACCAGAGAGAATGATAGAATTGTTTGGGTTGGAGGGCACCTTAAAGATCCTGTAGTTCCATCCTCCTGACATGGGCAGGGAAGCTTCCACTTGATCACCTTGCTCAAAGTCCCATGCAACCAAGCCTTGAATAGTGGCAGGGCAGATTTTTTGGATTACCTGTTCCAGTGCCTTCTCACTGTCATCATGAAGAATTTCTTCCTTAAATCTTATCTAATTTTTTTAACGTGAGAAATTCCTATTGCTAAATGCATAGATTTCCTTGCATTTTTTTTTTCTTTCACACAAGTTTAACTGTATGGTGAGGTGTCTAATCTCTCAAAGTTATCTGTCTCAATTTTCTGAGGGAAATGAGGTGGCTGCACATTGAATTTCTGATCACTCCTGTGTACCACCTGCCTGAGATTGCTATGTTAGTAGCCAAAGCCAGTCAGAAAGTGAATGCTCTTTCACTAACAAAACCAAGAAAATATTTCCAATTAAGCCTTTGCACTGAGAGTATCACACTTCTTGAAGAAGTATGTGGAAATAATATGACAGGAGAGCAAAGGGCAGCTCTGGTACCTCTGTTAAATGTAATACAACTTGGTTGCTTCCTCCTTCTGTTCCCCTTGCTTGCAGCACTCCCTGGGTAGGCATCACCATCTGCCCCAGTATATTCCAGTCATATTGGCAAAGCATTTGGGTAACTCAAGGGGCTTCCCTGCCCTTAGCAGATCCTGGGAAATGTCTTTTGGGCAGGAATCTAGGTGCCAATATGGAACAGGGCTGGAGGAGAAAAGAGTGTGCCTCCAGTGAGGTTTAGACAGCAAATGTCACACAAAAAGAGACACATAAAAAATGATGTGACTCTTTCTACAGTTATCAAAGGTTTTAATCACCTTTGCTAACTGTAGAAAGAGTCACAGTTTTTTTGCATTTTCCTGAAAAATGTGGCTGTTTCATAATTGACTTGACATACAAACAAAACAACTGGAGGATTCCCACCTAAAAAGGGGTTTAATGCTGCTGCATTTTAGAGTTACAGCAAAGAGGGGAAAAAACACCCAATAATAACCCTCTCGACCACAGGATCAGATGTAATAACTATCCTTGTATCCTAACTATCTAAGATAACTGGTCTGTAGCAGTACCTAACCACAACCAGATAAATGGCTTTTCTTTGGCCTTGTCACGAGAAAAACTTTCCCAGCATCTGACAGTCTTTTTCTCCATCAGTATTTCCTGTCTCCTCAGGCTGCTAAAATGCCACCATTTTTGCATTCTGTGAAATCAGCTCAGGCCCTTTCTCTGAGCCTTCTGCGCACTTTTCATGTGATATGTTTTTCTGGTTTTTCCTTATGAGAGGTAAAAGGGCTTTTCTAAGTTTTCCTACATGCAAAAGCTGGTGAAGCTGTTTTCCTCCTGCAAAGGCAGTGAGCTTCTGTTTTGTGCACGGGTTTGGGAGCTACATGCTGAGTCTGGCTTTCCTTTCTGGGTTTGTTACTAATAGACAGCATGGCTTAAGGGATTTATTTGGGGTGAGCCATAAAAATCCTTTTGTTGAGTGCAGCCTGACTGTTTCAGTGTGGCATCCTAAGAAAGAGATGCTGTGTACTTTTCTCTCAAAAATTAAGCATGAATGAACATTTCATATGCTCAGGTCTTTACTTTCTCATCTTCCAAATTAGGGAAGTACTGCCCATTTCAAAAGGCAAGCAAAGTTTTACTTAAGTTAATATTAAGATAGTACAGTAACACTGGTAAACTGTTGACACTGGTGTTAATATTTCATCATTTTTCAACTGATTTTTAAAGCTTTTATTCAATTCCACCCTTCCATACCACAGAGCCCCTAAAGGTTTTTTGCAAACTGCTCTGCTTTCTAGCAAAGGTGACTTCATCCAGAGGTACCTGAAGCAGCCTCAGGAAAGGCAGAAGCTGCCCTGGAGGATGCAGAAAGCGGGGGGGACACTGAAAGACAGATGGGAACTTCTGTATTTGTCTTCCTTCAACATAGTAGGAAAGGGAATTTGGGGAATGGTAGATCAGTTAGTTAAAAATCAAATCCTAGAAAAATCTTGAAATAGTTAATAAAACTTTTTAAAAATACATTTCAAAAGTAGTGTCAGATCAGTCTAATTTTCTTTGCCAATGGGATAATGCCATGTAGACATGGGATAAGAAGCAGCTATTGTAGCTGGGCTTTAGTAAGGCTTTTGCCACTACCTCAGCTCTAATCTTAGGCTTGAGAGATGTGTGACAGTGATTGAGTTTCTACAGGGCAGAACAAAACTGATGGGTAGTCTTGTTCAGAAGGTAATTACAAGTAGCTCACTCCCTGTGCAAAAGAATGTACAAAATCAGGTCTTTCTTGGAGCTCTCTTTTGAACATACTATTATTCTATATTTTCACTAGCCAGGGTAACTAGCTATTAAATTAAATCACTTCATGTAAAGCTGAAATTGTTTGCAAGTAAAATTAGGGCAGAATTGAATTTGAAACAAGCTTGACAACTTGGAGTACTTGCATCTGAAAAGGTAATTTCAATATGGGAATGTTGAAGGCACTCACTTCAGCGGGAATAGTCAATGACACACACAGCAGATGAGGATCAACCGGTTGGGTAGCATCCCTGAGGAAGATGATCTGGGCTTGTAGTGGCACAATGATGGCATGCTGTCACAAAGCACGCACACGCGGCACGCACCGAGACGTGTGAACAGAAGTCAGCTTGCAAGACATGTGAAGTAACCTGTTACCTTTCTCAGCATTGACAAAGCCTCAGAGGAATTTCTGCCTTCCCTTTTGGGGAAGAATGATGCAGCGTGACAGGAGGTTTCAGAGAAAAACAAGCATAAGCTATGAAAGAAGAGTGAATAAATTAGAGTTAATTAGTCTAGAGAAGAAAAACTTGAGGAAAGATATATCTGTCCGTGAAAGCATTAAAGGTGTGATCCATTCT